CCACCCACCCACATCTGCTGTGGGATTCACTTCACTGTGAGCACAGCAGAAGGCAAAGTCCTGTCTCCAGAATGAAGAAGTAGCTGTTACCCCAGCAGACCACAGGCCAGCCCGCCAGAGCACTTCACGCTCCGAGAGGAGGAAGCTCCACTCCCTGCTGTTAAATGACACCAGGAACACCCCTGAGAGCAAGGGCTCCCGCTTGAAGAACAAGCTTGGGATGACATTAGATTTCCAAAGGCTCTTGGAAAACAGGTCTTTTACACAACGTCCAGGGAGAAGGAGGAGAAATAGGGATGGAGAAGGACGTGACTGAGCATGAACTGTGTCATTGCAGTGGACTAACCCTCGTAAGGCAGAGTGTTAAGAGCACAGAGGGAAAGACCTCACACCCCTTTATCTCCCTGAAAGGTCTACTGGACATGCACTAGGAAAAACACTGCAGGGAGCTGCACTCTGGTTTGACCAGCACCACTGTTGGCCTGGAGCAAGGGAGGACACGGGCAGCCATCCCCACCAAGGAGAGGAGTTCTTACCCATCCGCCATTCTCCCGGATCCAGGGATCTAGGTGGTCGGTCAAGTACGTGGTCATCCAAGATACAATGCGTCCCACCAATACCCGCATCTCCTTGTCAACGCTCTCCACACACAAGGCTCCTCCGAAGGAGAAGAAAGCCACGATGCGACCCCAGTTCACTCCATCGCGGAAGAGTTCGTTCACTACCTGCTCAAAGCTCTGATACGCCGTGCCGGGGGTGATGTGGAGCTGGGAAGTGAGGTCGCTGAAAGCCCGTCGGTACCTCAACTCAAACTCATCCCCCGCCTCTCTCAGCGCCTGCCTCACATCAGCTGTTTGAACGATTTCGTGGACTTCCAGGCTTCTCCGGTGCACGGTGGCTCCGTTCACTACGTGGCTGGCGGGTTGGTGCCAGGAGGGGCTCCCGTTGAGGACGCCGTCCATCTCGTCCTCCTCTGCCGCAAAGTCAGTCCTGTTCTCATCCTCCTCCTGCAGGTCGCTCCAGCTGTATCCCTTCTGTGAAAGCTTGTAGGAAACAAAGTCAATCACTAACTCCCGGTTACTGTTGGACATTTTCACACCTGGGGCACCCTCAATGAGTCCATGGTCCAGAGCACAAGCAGATCAGCGCTTAGCAGGTCCCGACTCCGCTCTCCTTCGCGACCGATGGGCACATCTGACCTTTGCACAGACAAACACCAGGAGAGCAGAAAGGCAAAGAAACGGTTAACGCTACAGCTCCTCAATGCACCCGCGCCGTGAACACCGACAGCTTACGCTCACACCGAGATCATCCCGCAGCCTTATACCGAGACTCAGGGCCACCGGATTGAAGCCACACGGAGAATCGATTGCAATCCGCCCTCCCCCGAGTCCCCCCGCTCCCCTTCCCCCGGGGGAAACCATCCCCGAGCCCCAGGGGACCTCGCCAGCTCGCTCCGAGCAGCCCCCGGTCCCCGATCCCGGGGTCTCACCGGGTGCAGGCACCGCCCGGCAGGCCAGCTGCAGGTCGGGCCGGAGCGGAGGGGGTTCTACGTTCTGCTGGAGCTGCGGGCCGGCCCGGCCGCGCTCCGCCAGTCCCGGAGCGCCGCGGAGGCGGAGGCAGCACCGCCCCCC